TAGGAGTGATGGAGCTGCTGGTGGTGGGTTTTGGGGGCCTCAGACTCCTTGAACTTCTTCTTCTCCGACTCACAGGAGACCCACTGCACGTCACAGCACTTGGTTTCCAGCCGCTTTGGTGAAGTGTCCAGCAAGCCTGCCAATGGATAAGGAAGGTGTGGTGGGGTGCCCAGGGGGCTGAAGGCTATGCCTTCCCTAGAGAGCAGATTTTCAAAGCTGGAACTGTCCAGAATTCTTTTTCCCCTGGTCTTCAGCTTCTTCCCTTTCTGAGCTCTTCTCTCCCAGAGATCCCAGTTGGTTTCTCTAGAATGAACCCCTGGCCAGGCATGTTCTTAGTAGAGGTGGCCATTTGTCTTTTTCCCTGTACCACTTGACCCCATCCCAAACTGTGGACCTCACTGCCCACTCCTCTGACCACTGACCCTCATCTAACCTGACTCCCCTAACTTCCCTGCTCCCACCCCCCTGACCTGGTGCCTACCCTGGGCCCCCAGCCTCCTCCCTCTTTCCCAGTGCTCTGCCTTTACCTGTGCAGATAAAGCCAGGGAGCCCTCCGTACACCATTTCCTCATTGTCAGGGAGTATAAAGGGGCACCGGGTCTGCACCTCCAGGCAGTATTGCTTGCAGGGCACCCAGCGCTGGCATTACTGCTGGGTCACGCTGAAGTATTCTGAGCACAGCCAGGCCTTGTAGACAGCCTGTGGGGAGAGGAAAGAGCATCAGCCCATGTGCCAGCCCCTTCCTACTTCATAAGAATGGTATGGGGGTGGCATACTTGTGGTCTTTCTAGGGGATCTCACCAACCTGACTCCAAGATCTGGGAATGGGGAGTGATGAAAGGAAGAAGGGTTTGGGTCAAGGTCACTACATCTTACTCTAAGATATATCATCTCAAACCCACAACTCCTCAGCTATAGTCATCCGAGACTTAGAATTTGTTCATTGGAAAAAAAAAATTCCTCTTATGTCAGAGTTAGAAGGAACTTCACCAATCATCTCATCCAACTTTGTCATTTTACACTTGCTGCAAAGAGATGTCCTGACTTGTATGAGTCTACCTATTAAAATGAGGCAAATTTCAGTTCTGTTCAGTTCAGCAAACATTTTTTGATGGTGTTAGGTTTCTATATTCAAGAAATAAATGGAGAGACTAATCCTTGCTCTACCTCATTAGGGTGTTTTGTGGATCAAATTATACAGTGCCTATGAACATGTTTTATAAACTGTAAAATGCAATACAAATGTGAGGGGTTGTTTTTAACACAAATAGGAATCTGCCTTACTGGACACCACATGTGCCTCTGAGCTCTACTTAATCCATATCCTGTCCTATTTGCTTCAGCCCTGTTGTGGAGCAAACATTGCAAACACTTCTATCTTTCATTTGGAATCTGTGCTTTGCAATTCCACTTCATAAGTATACTTTCTATCCCTCATCTAGCTCACTCTTACCAGGCATGGGATCCTAACTAAGAAAGTTTCCCTATTCTATATTCTTTGGTTTTCATTAGCCCAGAGTTTCTCAACAGTGACATTATTTTTGACATTTTGGCCAGATGATTGTTGTTGTGGGATCTGTCCTTTGCATATAAGATATAAAGCAGCATCTCTGGCCTTCACTCGTTAGATAACAGTATCATTCTTCCCTCCCCAATTGTGACAACCAAAAGAAAAGTCTCTAGCCATTGTCAAATGTCTCCTGGAAAATAAAATTTTCTCCTGTTGAGAACCACTAATCTAGTTCCTTGCTACCCAAAGTGTAGACCTGGACCAGCAGCATCACCATCATGTAGAAACTTGAAAGAAATGCAGAATCTCAGGCCCACTCCCGATCTGCCAGGTCAGCTTCTGCATTTAAGCAGGATGCCCAGATGACTTTCACACATGAGGTTAGAGCCTTGCCTACATCTGGTGTTCAGGGGCACCTCCTAGGCTCATAGTTGTTCCTAACAGCATTGGTTCTCAGGCATCATTCATTGCCTCAGAACTCTCTAGGACATTTTTTAAATATATGGATGCCTCCCTCCAATTCAGTTTCAAGAGAACTGAAGAGGGCTCAGGAGTCTGCATTTTTGAACATGATCAATTTTACTGCAGGAAGCCCTTTAACCATGCTCTAATATGGTCTTAGAAATGTTCTATCAGTTTCTTGCACCTACTTTAAACATTTTCATTAAACTATAAATAACTCCACTGTGAAATTGGACTTTGGCAGTGCAATCCCATGCTGATCTTTTCCGAAGCAGGGAGTGGTGGTGGGTGGTGGTGGTGCAAATCAAGTCCCCAAGGAACAAAACATTGCTTGAAACTTTGGTATCTCAAATTTAACATGTTCTAAATTTTAAAATGTAGTTATTAGGTTTGTTAAAATCACAAATCAGTTCTCGGTCTTAAGTCTTGACCATTTTAGTAACTGCCACAAAACATAGGTGTCAGCTTTCATTCTTCTCTTTCTCTGCCTCCCCTTAACCAGTAAACCAACAAGGCAGGTCCATGTACAGTTCTTTGTGCAGGTCACCATCATCTCTACTCTTGGTCTTTCCATTCCACTATCCACACAACAGTAAGCACAGTGTCAAAATGTCATTGAATAATGTTGCTCTCTTGCTTCAAACCTTTCAATGGGTTCAGACTAAAACCTTAACTTCTGACCACAGATTTCAAACCTGTGCATAACTTTGTCTCTGTCTCTTT